ATATATGCTTTACATCAAGTATTATATGTGCTTTACATCAAGTATTATATATGCTTTACATCAAGTATTATATATGCTTTACATCAAGTATTATATGTGCTTTACATCAAGTATTATATATGCTTTACATCAAGTATTATATATGCTTTACATCAAGTATTATATGTGCTTTACATCAAGTATTATATATGCTTTACATCAAGTATTATATATGCTTTACATCAAGTATTATATGTGCTTTACATCAAGTATTATATATGCTTTACATCAAGTATTATATATGCTTTACATCAAGTATTATATGTGCTTTACATCAAGTATTATATATGCTTTACATCAAGTATTATATATGCTTTACATCAAGTATTATATGTGCTTTACATCAAGTATTATATATGCTTTACATCAAGTATTATATATGCTTTACATCAAGTATTATATGTGCTTTACATCAAGTATTATATATGCTTTACATCAAGTATTATATATGCTTTACATCAAGTATTATATATGCTTACCTAATTACATATTTGCCCAGACTATTTTGTCTTTGCAACAATTGTGAAATTTCGACTTTGAACCTGTCAACTTTCCTTGTCAGAGGAAACTGTAGCACCTGGAGAAAACCCTGACTTTTGGCAGAGCATTGACTGAATCTTCACATGAGTCTAATAAGTCTATATAGTGAGAATTGAACCCAGAAACTGCAGCCCTCAAACTAATGCCGATCTATCAACCTCCCAGGTTGGCAAATTTTTGCCGACCTTAATTCAGCCAAAGTAAGAATCTTTTTTGGTGCTATAGCTGTTAAAAAGTCAGCGATTATAGAATTCTATTTGTAGTTCGATTAACTAAACACACTTCGGTGCATGTAAGGTTTAAAAATTGACGGGTATTCTATATATATAATTAAGGTAAGACTCCAACAGAAAAGCCGTCTTGTTACTTTTCAATGATTCGTAAATATGTGATTACTAGTACTAGTGCTCCAAGACATGGAAACAGATTTTTAAAAATGCCGCATAATATTACCTAAAATCTCTGAAAGATTAAGCTGACTGTTCATGATAATAAATAATTTCATTCAACCCTTTAAGTGGCAATGCACCCAAAGGTACCACATGCACCTAGAGGTGCCCTACTTCAGTCTAATGCCAGATAATTTTACTAAGAACACTGCCACTCACTGGGTTAAACATCTCAAAAACTGAATTCAGTAATTTTTATTAACATACATTGTATGCATTGTTACATGTATGTAATTCCAGCTCAAATATTACATCTTCTATAGGTAACTCTCTTATAAATGATAGGAATTAAGCAGTACTTGGCAACAATTACTGTACTCCTCAATTCCAGGGCTATTAGCACCCTCTTGCTCAGATGAAATATGGCATATTTCTGCTACCAAGTTGCATGTGAAGGAGGCATAATGCTTCAAATATTGCGTGTCATGTGAAAAAGTGTAATTTCAAAGAATCATTTTATCAAATTTTGTAACGTTTGGTGATTTTAGTGTCACACAAATACAGTACTTATTAGATATAGCGAACATGGCTTCATTATTTATGTAAAGCCATGTAGGTTCATAAAATAGAGTGTTATTTACAAAAGACAGAATTTCCTCCTTTTTATGTTGTAAGAAAGTTTGTAAAATCTAGTTTGTTAAAAGTGATCTGTGATGTTACTGTATTTAGATGGATATAGGTAATGGGAACTGGATGGTATTAAAATGGATGCTAAAATAACTTACATGTCATGCTAACATTGTATTTGGTTGTAAAGCATAGAACAATCACATGCATGGTCTATTGTTGGCGAGCATAACTGGAACCGTGTTTTTTGCTATTCTACGTAATTAGTCGGTGCACACCCTGGGAATTTAGAAACACTTCCAAAATCTAAAATCCTGGCTAAGACCCTGGCTCAGTGTGTACTTACTGTAGTTAATAAGATTAAATACACAGTTTTCTTGCATACTAACGTGGCACTTCAGCACTTGGTGGACCAAAAATAAGTAAAATGAGTACTGTACCAGACTGTAATATTGGTGTACCTCCGGTACGTAGACACGCGATTTATTACACCCTGGGCCTGGAAAATCATTTTCTTGAATATTGTGCATCATTGGCTCTACCTGCGGATAACAGAGTTATTTCCCAGCAAAGAAATGATTCCAAGATTTGTATACATGTACTGTAGATGTCTATTTTTTAAATTTTCATTCATATTGAAATATAAAATGCATAAAGAAAGACAAAGAGTATAAATAAGCGCAGATTCAACTATTATATGACTTGATATAGATAATTTCTAAAAAAACTGTGGAGTCTATTGGCTGTTGCCATATTTAGCCATAAGCTCTCAAGCTAGTCAGAAGATACTGTAAGTAGTGATGTATTATAACTATTATTGGTAGTAGTCAGGTTGCTTGGTGTAAAAGATAGCGAGTTCCTTACGGACTGGACAGAACGTCACAGAAGAGCTAAACATTTCGCAGTTCGTGAACTGGTTAGTATAGGCAATTCCAGCTTTTAGTTTATGCGTGCAGGGGACGATGGGAAGTAAGGTGTCACATTGCTGATTATGCTGAAAAAATAAAAATGGTGGCCGTGTAAACACGTACTGATAGCTTATACTTGTAAATATTGAAATATTTCCGTTGTTTCGGTAGTTTTTATTGAAATTTTTCAGCATAATCGGCAATATGATACCTACTACTAGGACCTGGGGATTTGGGGGCGGGGCGGAGGAAGGGCGTCGTTCCACTTGTGACGTAATGCTTGCTAAATGCTAGCCAAAATTGACCACCAAACCTGCCAAAGCCATCTGAGATAGCCAAGTAAAGGCCTAGGTCTAGGCTGGGTCAACTTTATTAACACACATAAGTAGCACAACTTTTTCACTTCTCTTCTTTGAGATACCGAGGCAAATGTGGCATGTCACGTGTGTGACTCACAAAAATGTTCTTTTGTTAGTTCTCTAAACAAGTTCAAAAGTCTGTGAACTTGGAAAAGACAAAGTAATGAAAAATACATGAAATATTGCAGCAATTGACGCTCTATTAAGATCATATTCAAATTTGTGTGAAAAACCAAAACTAACACTGTACGGAAAGATTATGTGTCTGTCACGTGTGTGACAACTCTGTCACGTGTGTGACCAAGTGTGAAATATATATAATAACAAGTCAAAAACTTGCTTTAAAATGCACCAGATATTACTAAACAAAGAATATATACGCAACAATAGTTAGCAGAACTAAAACCTGTACAGTAATGTGTTCCAGTTGTTTAGCTTGGAAAGTTACTCTAAACAGTTTTCATGAGTTCATTTAAACTTCTCGCATAATTTGCAGAGAAGGAGAAATGGCAATTAGATACCGGTACTGGGATCTCTTCTGCAGCAGATCTATCTAGCTTGGCTTTTTTGCAATTCACCGTATATGTTCTTTTTGACGTATTGGGATATTCCGACCAGTTTCGCCGATATAAACCAAACTACATTAACAGGGAATGCGGTTCCAGGCTTCTGAAACTCATCCACTCTGTCCTTGAATTACAGTGTGCGATAATCTACGTACCGGAGGTACATACGTCAAAATTACGGTCTGCCGGGTACTTCTTTGTTTTCAACCACGTAGGTACGCGCCAACTCTTGCTACCTGCGTAGTTAACTTTTTGCTGGTACCACATCACCATTCCAACCCCAAGGTATTCATTACAGTAATTTAGTTGGTACATATGTGTAAATCTGAGATGTCTTGGCATGAAACATATGATTGGTCTGATAGCATTAAGGAATGTTGAGGTCGATTGGTTGTACCTGACGTGTATGTGCAATTGCATGTTCCTCTAACTAGGAGTGTGAATAGACTTTCAGAAACCTGTACTTTATGTACTTCATTTTAAAGACCAAGTACACATTGAGTACTAGCGCAAGTACGCGGCCACAATCATTGACGTACCAGTCAGGCACGACTAAAATATTGGATTATCGCTCCCTGGACTCGAAACAGTTTGTTATATATGCAGTACCAGTGGTATACCTGTATACCTGCTTCCTTCAAAATCCTCCAAATTTTGTGTGAAACCGAACCAATACATGGCAGACAGACATGCAGAGGATTTATATTCATTCTTCTGTTGTACTGTACATGTTGTGCATTTTCATAGCATAATTTATGAATTCTCAAAGATAATCATTCATTCTAATACTGTAGGACATTTCTTAAATGTTCTAATTCACCGTCAGTGCTACTTTCATCGTGAATGCTACTCATTGCCAATTGTTTTCGCCTGGTTCTATCATGTCATTTCACCATCCTAGCATAAAGAACTCTGTTTACAAGACCAGCGCTGGAAAATGTTCAGCAGCGGTTTAACAAAATATCTTCGCAGGAAATTTTTCTTACGTCGTGCAGGAATTTTTTCATCTTATATATTGGGTTGCCGTATAATTTGCTTGTTGTTTGAAAATTCCAAATGCACTCCAATTGAAATTGTCATCTGTGAAACCTACTGTACCTATATATGCAGAAACTTTTACATTTGGTTTTCGCAGGACATTTTACCCACGCCAGGAACTTGTGTCTTCACCTGCATGAGTTTGTATATGGTGTGTGTTTAATGAACATAGGCCAGGGACAAATCTATTAAGTTTTAGTTCAATTTGGATGAGAAATTAAAGAGAAGTTTGTGGTGCTTTCCCGGACAGAGTAAATGGAATGCGTAATCAGTCTACTGTGTAATTTATGCATGATAATTGACTAACCGCAGACGGAAGCAAGTTATTCTTGAATTTTGCAGAGGAGTGACGACAATATCCAAACTCAAAAACTAGCCAAAAAGTTTAAAACCTGTGTCCCTATTGATACTAAAGATAGTAAAATAAATTGAATTGACTTCAATGTATTTTATGTTAAGCCCGAATTGTAAAATGGTAAATAACATATGTAAAGCATGCAATGGCTATAAGTGTCGATTTTTCCGTTATTTTGTAGTGAAATGAGCGCAAGCATGGGACATTTGGACAGACTGGAAATAGAGAATTTCAAGTCGTACAGAGGAAAACATGTGATAGGTCCATTCCGCAAGTTTACAGCCATCATTGGACCGAATGGATGTGGTAAGGATAACCACTATGGTATAACTCTTTGGCAAAATTCACTGTAACACGGGTATATCATATAAACATGGTATCACACATGAATCTAAAGCACCTTTATTACTCTATAAGTATTGGTTTTCGGTATACAGCTATTTCAATTAAGGTTGTCCCCGAGCAAAGTGGAAAGGTCGAACATGAGCGCGAAAGGCTTGCTGGGAATCGCTAAACAATTAATGATTTTTTAGACGAGTACGTTGCTATTGCTTTCCAGGGACTTTATCTCATTTTTTTATGCCAAATTTCGGTACTTAGCTCAAGAAAACAGATATCTTGTCCTTTGTGCGGAAATATTTAACACACAAAAAAGACTGGGGCCCAACAAAAATTTTTCACGGGCCCCAGCACCTCGGGGCCCGGGGCAATCCCCCCCCCCCCCCTCGGCGGCCCTGGTAATTAGTCATGTGAGTTACCTGAAAATATGAGTTGTGTGACAACGGGCATAATTACAGTACTTGGCGTGAATTACTGTACATTTTCTAACTATTTTCCAGGGAAGTCTAATTTGATGGATGCCATTAGTTTTGTGTTTGGTGAGAAAACATCCAGTCTTCGTGTCAGAACTGTTAAGGTTTGTAAATACATGTGTGTGTTACTTTTGCTTGAATTCTATATGTTACTTTTGCTTGAATATAGTGCTTTAGTATTATTGCACACGTGAATATAACAAATCCTACAAGTTGATTGGTCAAATTTGACGTATTAAGCTGTTATATTCACCTACGGGTGATAAAGAAATAAGCGAAATTAAAATAAATTCTGTCCCAAAAGATACTAAAACAATTATCCGCCCCAGGCTCGATCGGTGATTATCGGGGAATATTCACCTCGACTTCGTCTCGTTCAATACATGTACTGCACATGATGTAATTATTCGCATCATAGGCATATAATAATAATTAGGGTAGAATCGTCGTGGTAAAATCGTACTGCCAGATACGGGAATGGCTATCACTGTTTCAATTTTACAGAAAAACGTTCTTACGAAGTGTAGGCCCCAAGCAACCAAGAAATATCAAATTTGCACTTTGATCTATCATTGAAACTTTCCCAAAGGGAGGTGCATGACTTTTCAGGAGAGGTCCAAAAATTCTCACGGGAGGTGCAAAACGATCTCAAGGGAGGTGCGCACTTCACCACACCTCCCCTCAAAATCCGGCCATGGGGCTTACCCTTATATTAATAGTGCCTTAATGAATAATGATGACTATACAGGGTGTATCAAAAAAAGCGCAATCCTCGACTGAAATGTAAATTGCTAAACAAATAATAGACGAAAACGTTAAAGTTTACATTCATTTAAAGCGTAGCCATTCAGCTTTCTAACAGTGGGTTGTTTCTTAAATTTGACTCATTGGTTCGCGGGTAATAATACTTTACGTTATTGCGATTGGAGATTAAAAAAATTGAGATGGAATAACAAATCGTTCTCATGAAAATAATTGATTTTTTCATTAAAACAAAAAAATGTTGCATTTTATTAAATGGATTGTAACAATGAGTATAATTACGGCTTTTCTTCCACTATTTTTAACTCAGTTTGAAACTTCAAATGCGGTATAATTTTGGCTTGGACCATCTAAGCTGACTGACATCAACTTGCTATAATTTCTGTTTACATTACATCGCAATTCGATGACACTCTGGCTCAGACACCAGAATGTTTTGACGATTTTTAGCATTCGTTTAGGATTTTCAAACAACCTGGTTTCTTTTAAAATACTTTTAATTTGTTCTTACGTGGTTTTCCAGATGTAGTGACGACAACATTAAAGTTTAAAGAAGAAAATTCTAACATTTAAACCGACTAAACAATAACATAGTAAACTTGCATAATTAAACAGCAACTAAAAATGATAGGTTTTACTAAATCTTTTCCTGTGTAATTATTACTAGCATTGGAGACAAGGATAATAGTTTGTTTGAAAGAGAAAAGAACAGGCTTTGAAGTAAGCCTAAAAGCGTTTAACTAGAAATAGTATTTCGAAAGTTATTAAGCACAAAAGATGAATTGCGTTTATTTTGATACACCCTGTAGTACAGTTCATATGCGCCCTGATGTTGACGTACTGATATTCTGAACTATAGTTTCACCCATGTTAATTCGCAGTAAAAGATCATGCCAGGAAAATATGCACTGTTTGTTTAGAGCTGTTATGATTTCTTATTTCATTTATACAGGATCTAATTCATGGCGCACCCATCAATAAACCAGTTGCAAACACTGCTTCAGTGAAGGCTGTTTATTTTGAAAGTGATGAGTCTGAAATTACATTTACCCGCAAGTACGTTACCTACTTCTTTATTCAATCTATACATGCATTTTGTGCAAAGCAATAAGCACGATAGAAGAACGTACTTTTTACCCATTTCATGGAGATGCCGTGCGATTTACCTACGGCAAAAACGTGGTTATATCCTTACTTTTGGCGCACGAACAAATGTTTAGTGATTAGCTTGCAATTGAGGTCATGATCAAAAAAATATTTTCATGTGCGAAACACGAGGCTTGATTCAAATTAATTTAGGAAATTTGGTACAGATCACCTCAGCATGCTGTTTTCACTCGTTGAATCCATGTATATATTACTTTGTTACTCATCTTCGACGTCTTGTGGCCAAATGGCGCTGTCAATTATTCGTTATGTCATTTTATTGTTCAACGTTTTAGAATTATTGGGAGTGGAACAGAATATCGAATTGACAAGAAAGTAGTTTCACCTGCTGAATACAATAGGAAACTTGAATCTATTGGAATTTTTACCAAAGCTAAGAATTTTTTAGTTTTCCAGGTAAATGAACTTATAACTTCAGCCTGTTTTTATCAAAGTCTCTGATCAACCAGATCAGCGGTTCACATTCTTGTCTAGTTTTTCCTTTGTCATGTTCACCACTAGTTCCTTGATCATGGTTTACACACCCCAACCATTCCTTCTTCATTCCTGCCAAGCTTTTAGCCAGAAGTGCATCCTGGGACGTCCTACAACGAACGCCTTCGACGCCCAAAATTCTGGCAGAAAAGGAAAATTATTCTCAGTGATTTCTCGAAATATATTCATGTATTTAAAACGAAATAACTTTAATTTTTATCATAATGCACTTGACATTTTGATCAATTTAATGGTGTATCTAGTTGAATGAAAATGTCGTAGTTTTAACCACGACATTTTCACTCAACTAGATAACCATTAAATTGATCAAAATGTCAAGTGCATTATGATAAAAATTAAAGTAAAAGTAAAGAAGCATATGGCGACACAAACTCGCAAAGCGAAGCATGTTCGAAATGTCTCCAATGAGCTTTAGTACGCTATGAAGAATAAATGGAATTGGAAGATACTGACATGAAGTGCTGTAAACGTCTAATACTGTTTAAGAGACCCAAGTTTCAAAGCTTTTCTAGCCTGCGTAGCAGGCGGTATAAGCTAGAAATACCGCCTGCCCAAAAACTACACATTCTGAGTTCCCCCCACCGAACGCATGGTCCCGCCCACCTATCATTGTTTTCCCCCTGAGGGGGGGGGGGGG